ACTCAATGCTTTACAAAATTTAAAATATTTTTAAGTTGTGGCTGCAGCAGGGCAGTCAAAATCAGGAGAATATAAAAAAAAAAATTTGGATTCTTTTTGTTTGTTTGTTTGTTTTTGTAACAAAATAGCAGATGAGAGTTGTAGTAAAAAAAAAATTAAAAAAAGACAGTGCCTCTCTGAAGCAACAGCAGGGGTGAGGTGCACAAAACAAAAAGAAGCAATGTTAGAAACACGGAGTCTTAAAATGGCTCTGAGTAATCAGACTGTCACTTTGATAAAGGTACATGAAAACTCTGTAAGCAAAAAAAGAAATAGTGACACCTTAAGTAAAAATGGATCTGGATAATGTTATAGAAGTTAAACTATGGAAGGAATGTGCATTTGCCCCAGAACATGTGCAGGGTATATTGTAGAAGGGGCAAAAGAAATACAAACATACCATGCTACTTAATTAAAATGCTATTGAGGCTCCAAAGGGAGCCACAATAGGTTGGGTTTTCTTTTTCAGATTGCTGTGTGTTTTGGAACCAGAAGTTAAAAGTAATCAAAACTCTGGTGAAAGTTGATTGTGTCCCTTTTAAGATAGACTCTCTGAGCTGCTGATGGCTTTAAATCCAAAAGCAGGAAGTTTCTGTGAAAATGCAAATTACCTAAATGATAAAGGAAGGAAAGAACTAGCAGCACAAAGGAACTGCAGATAAAGGACATACCTGGTCAGCAAACAAATTGTCTAAATAAAAGGCATGGGATAACAAGATAATTGTAATAAATTTAATGATAATAAGTATCCCTGTAAAAACGTATAGTGTGTATGATTTTTGGAAAAATCCTTTAAGGTCGTATGGTAATGATGCTTCTCAGTTATTACCTGTAAATAAAACTTAAAGCTTAACACAGCAGGAAAAACATTATAAACTTGGTCTGCTGTATAAGAAGGAAAACTCAGGGATTTAATGACTAAACAGTGGGATAATTTCCCCATAACCCTTAAAAAACCATTGAAACCTGGCCTGCCTATAGAACAAAAACAGGAAAATGTGGGGGCAATTCCTCTGTTTTGCCTGCAATCAGCAAGGGTATTTGTAAAAGAAATATTTTAAGCAATAATCTGTCACCCCAAAAGGGGTAGAAACATGTTCTTTTGTCTTTCAGAAAATCAGGAAAAGCTGATGCCAGCTGAAAAGCAACCCAATACCATGAATCTACTGTCACAATAGAAATTGTGTTCTGTGTTCTATGTTTTGTCTTGTGTTTTGTCTTGTTGCTAGCACTGTTGTGTGTTTAAAAAAAAACTACTGAAGACCTGCAGGAATTTAAAAATAAATTAAGCTTTCTGTCCCAGCTACAGGACAGCCTGATACAAAAACAAGTACATGCCAATGTAGACTTGGTCCAAATTGGTCTGGGTAACCTAAAAGGCCGATGGAATCTTTAGTAATGGCTTAATACTACCACATGGCTTATCCATAAGAAAAAAAAATATTAGAAATAGGAAACTACACAGCCATAGCTATGGGATGCACTGAAATGCAGATACTTGCACTAGCTACTTTGGAACACAAAATGTTCTGGGTCATATTGGGAAATATTAAGGGTTTGATGCATTTGTTAAAAAAGAAAGAGATCATTGTTTGACACTTATCAATATGAATGGATGCAATATGTTTCCAGTATTGTAAACCAGACTTGTTAATGGGAGAAATTGTTGTCAAAATTGCACACTAACAGTCCCTGGAGGCAAAGGTATTGAAGGTTAACCCACTCCCCATATTACACATGGGATCCTTCTGGCTACCCTGGACCTTGAGCCAGTGGGCTGGGGAGGGAAGGAAGCTATTGGACACTAGAGGTTGTACCGAATGGACTCCTCAAAAGTGGGTGTGCCTCACCTTGCCTGTTGCCCCAGAACCTTGTAGTAAAGATACATCACTAAGATCATGTATGTGGCATGAATTGGAATCACAAACTCAAATTGCCTCACAGTACTTTCTCTTGAATAGGCTACATAGAAAGTGACACTGACAATTATAAATCTTAGTGTCAAAAGGGGGATTATGTTGGATCATATTAAAGAAGTTCTGTATTACAATCACAAATGAGTTTGATTCCCCATAGTTTAAATTCCAGGGTATTACTAATTAAGAGGTCTCTTGGTTTTTGGTACTGTTTCTCTCCCTCTATGTGTGAAACTTGCAAGCTGCTAATTGTGTTAGTACATTCTAAGACAGAGTCTGTTCTCAAAGCAATTCACAGAGAGAGAGACTCAAAGCAATACTCTAACAACAGAAACAGCACCCAGAGACTCCTCGCCCTTTTGTTGTATTAACAATTGTGATTAAAATAGAGATAGAGGATGTATGTGGATGGATGCGTGGTGTGGATAATAAGTGAATGATCAGGGAGGTGCCAGCCTAAGAATCCAGTGTCCATCGGCTGAAGAAGGCGTCAAGTGGAAATAACCAGAGGACCCCCCCCCCCCCCCGGAGGGCAGACTGGAATCCACCCAACAGCCTCAAGAATGGGAGAACCAAAGAACAAGATAACATCTTGGAGCCGTCAGGAATGTGCTATCTGCTGATTGATTCAGCAACAGCATGATGAAGCAATTCCCATAGACTGGCATAGGAAGATATTCCTATAAAAATAGACTCTAAAAAGTGAGAACTTTGGGGTCTGATTCTGCAAACCAACTTCCAGGAGCATCAGATGAGCATCTGACAAGGCCCTGCTCCCTCCTCATGTCCAGGCCACCTGGCCAGTGGCTTGGCATGAGCAACTCTAAGGCTGGTAACTATGATAACAACCTTGCAGAACCTGTGTGTGTGTGTTTGTATGAATGAATGTGTGAATAAATATGAGATTGAATGGAATGTTATAACTATAACTAACTGCTTACTATGATTCTTTCTATATTCACAATAAATGTGGTATTTTGCCTTTTTCCCTTTAATAAGATCTTGCTGGTTTTTATTTTATTGGTATAACACCACTAGGCCTCTGGTATCCTAACCCGTCCCTCCCTCCCTCTTTTTTTCTGCCACATATAGGGACACTGGAAGTTACTACTACCCAGAGCAGCCTGTGCAGGTGAGGGAGGGAATGGTGGATTAGGTGCTTGCTGTAACACCCTCCCCACTTCCTCAGAAAAAGTCTCTGGAGAAAGAGGGATTGTGAGCCATCAAGGAGCTTCTGCTTCCTCCACCCCTTCATGCCCCTGTCTGAATCTCACCACCTTTCCTCTGTGACTGGAGGGTGGTGTCTTCAGTCCAGTGGGCACCCCTGTCGCTCACTGCTCCATTTTGGAATAGTCAATTCTGCTTCTGAAAGGACGGGGAGGAAAATCAGCAGTCATTTGCTGTCTCCCCATGCTCACAGCGAGACCCTGGGAAAAGGGTAGCTTCACTCAACATCACTCCCCTGGTGACCCCAGTATTGTGACAGCAGAACAGCAGGGCCATGGGGAGGGCCTGAGGGGGACCATTGCCTGAGGGGGACCATTTTGCCTCAGGATTTCTTTATGTTTGGGCAGCACAAAGCCATTCCAAGGGCCAGCGATGTAGGCGGGCTCTGCAGCCGCACAGCAGCAGGCTTATGTTTTGGCCCTCGGTGGTTAGGATGTTGACGGGTATCTCCCAAGGAGAGGAGCTTATATACTACTTAGATTACTCCCGAGTGTTTCCCATTTTGTCATTCGTTTTCATTAATGGTTTTTAAAAATACAGCATAAGAATGCCCAAAAGTATAGCCCCAAATCCTGCTCCTCACTCTGTGGGTGTGGAGAGCTCAGCCTACAACAGGACAATTGTGGTTCAAAGAAGCTCAGACAGGACGTCAGGGGCCTATGGGGTGGCTCACATTGCTGGTTGTTAGTAGCCACAGCAGTTAATATTTATATTGACTACTACTGTATATGCTACACAGACACAGAAGAGACCATCCCTACCCTGAAGGGCTTAGACTCACAAAGTGCTTTAGTGTGTGCCACCATGCCCTCTATTGTGTAGTAACTTCCAGTGTGGCATTATCCAGTGGCCCTCTAGGGATAAGGATGGGCATGGGCAGGGCTGGAGGTTCCACTGCTATGTAAATCCATACACCACTGACTGGGTCACAAGGGGAATGCAAGGGCTATGGAGCCTCGAGGCTAAAGAGTGTCCCTGAAGTAGCTCCATTGCCAGAACAACAGCTCAGTAGGAATTCTCCCCACAAGCCCCTGTCTCCGCCCATAGAAATCCCCTTTGCACAGCTCAGCTACTTGGGCTAGTTACATGGACCAAGTTTTGTCCCATGGACAGCATGTGTTATATGTTTTCATTTTGTTAGTAATGGTGTGATATTAGTACTAATGTGTGATGGAGAAATATTATTGTCAGTATATCACAGTGTAATTCTAAGAAACATAGCCAGCCACTGATCACACTTCTTGAAAAGCATGTGATAATATTGCACATATTTCTACATTTCTTTATGCCCATTGTGACTTACGTTCCCCCCCCCCAACAATTTTTTAAATTAAGTACATGCAATGATTGGCTATTACCTCACGATATTTTGTTTTACTGCTTGTATATTTTGTAATAGGTTAAATCATATTCAAAGAACTATAATTATCACTGTATGCATGTTACTCAGTGCTGAATATACGTATACTAATACTAATTGGTAATTATTCTACTCCTAAGACTAGATAACATGCTTCAAAGCTGTAAATCCTTCCTGTACACGCTCTACATTTCTTTCCTTCTCATGGTTAACTTGTGTCTTAACAATGAGGCAACTAGCTACAGTATATATAAAATTTAGAAGTATTGCAATTTGCTGCCAAATATTCTTTATGCATAAACAACACAAATGTGGATACCTATTTAGTTTCCTTTGGGGTATAAACCATAAAAGAAAGCAGTATAACAGCAGCAAATACACCAGCTGCATATGTTTTGAGGCACAGATGGTAGACAGACAAATAGACAGATTGGTACCACTGTATAGTACATGCTTACCAGATTGAGAACTGTCAAATATTTCCACTGCCTACCATAAAGGAACACTTCAGACGGCTGGTCTTCTGCTCTTACGAGTGAGATTGAATAGGTTACAAAAATATACCAGACAAAAACAAGGGAATGGTACACAGCCAGTGTAGCGATTGCCATGGTTCTGCTGTGAGTGCTATTCAAGCCTAAAAGCAGCTTTTCTTTTAATGTTCAGTAGCCATGCATAAGAAATTGCACGGCAGGAGAGTTTGCTGTCTGAAGAAAGTCAGGACGCTGCTCGCATGAAACAAATATTACAACACTGGCTGGACTTTGCTTCTTTCTTCTTCTCTTTTTTTTTTCTACTGATAAGCTTGGAAAAAATAGGCTTATTCCCTGGATTTAAATGTCTCACTCAAGATTACTGAAGATTAGTTGCAGAGTTACATAAGTTTTGGTGTTTCTGCACCGGGGATGAGGTTGTCGCTGGTTTTGCATAACTGAGTTTCATGTTCTTTTTGGACAAGTAGGAAAAAAACCCTATTTTTCCTTCTGGTGAGATATTGGTGTTGCCATGAGCCTTGATCAATTTTCGGGGACCTTTGTCACTTTTGTTTCAATAAAGAACGAAGATGGAAAGAAGAGAGGGCTTTCAAAGGGGAACTGAATAAATTTGTTAGTGTGGTAAAACAGGGAGGATCTAAGGGGTTAATACACTAATGTTAGGGTTCTTTGGTTTCGTAAGTTTTGAAAATCGTCTTTGACATTCTTTGTAGAAAGTCTTCTGAAGTAGGTTATTCTGTCAATCCATGTTACTTAAGTATTTACAAATGCACACAGCTGGTCTGACAAAATTCAAGTCACTTTAAATGTCTGGGAGGGGATAGAGAGAAGGGGCAACAGCCTGGGGTAATGTAACTTAAGTAGTTTCTTTACTGAGCTGCTTGTTTGCTTAATCACATTAACCTCCAGATAATGGTTCTTCCCTGGTATGACAGTGCAGCATTATATATATATATATACACACACCCACACACACGGAGTATATAATAGAGCAATTGCAGCTACACAGCCACTCAAGTCAAGTGTGTTAGCCTAAGTGTCTTAACCATTCAATAGTCTAGGGAAGGTTATGCAAGTCCATGAGGGAACCAGGCAGCCCTTGCTGATGAGTGCAGCCTGCAAGTATGTGGCCTGAATCTAACTGGCCACAACTGCAAAGAGGAGTCACAGAGGCTCCACTTATAGTCATTAGCAGCATCTCTTATCACTCCACGTTTGAAGCTATTGAGCTTTACTCAGAGACGGCCTGGAAGGTCAAAACTAGGGGGCTGGACTGTTGGCTCTGTCAAGAGATAGGCACTGGCTGTGTTTGAAGCTTGTTCTTGCCATCTAACATTCCACCTGGAGGTGATTTTGAGGTTCCTTAGGGGAATTGTCTAAACAGGGCACCTTGTGCTGGCATGGTAGCTTGGTGGATTAAACACATCTTTAAACTAGAATAGATGTGGCATGCCTTGCACCTTTAAGGAGCAGATTCTGCAAGATGACTTGTCACCTGATATCAGGAGGGACAGTGTTGGACAGGATCAGAAGCCAGGCCACATTGGTTGGTGCCATGGTTCCTATTATTAAACCCGTAGTTTCATACAGCTGAGTGTCTGCTCCTGCTGAGTAAAAGGAGCTGAGCCATGCCAGGAAGTAATACTCTGCTACAGAATAACATAGGCCAAGCCCAGCGTTTCTTAGTGTCTGTTCATTGGCTCCCCAGATAGACACAGTTAATTTGCTGATCAGGTTGTTTCTTATCTTTACTTGCAGTGAGGTCTTAATAAAAGGTTCCTTGACTGTCAAGGTACAGTCCAATGTAACACCTATATACGCAGGCTTTGGGTCATGCTCCACAGGGGTGCTGGAACAATTTTTATTGTGGGGGTTCTGGCAATAGAAACTATGGAAACCATGTATTTGGTGTTTGTTATTACTACTTCAAGCCAAGGGTTGCGGGAGCACCACTGATGCTCCATGTCTGCAGTAATGACCATATGAATGCTTTATGATAAACTAGGTATTGAGCTGGTGATCTGTGTTAATCTGCACCACCACCATCACTCACCACAACTGGCAGTCATAACAGAGAAGCCAGAGACTGAACTACCGTCTGTCCTGTAGAGACAGTCCCTCCAGGACAGGGTTGACTCTCTGCTGAGCAGACTATTTTAAGGCTACTTTTCTTTTTTGGCATTTGTAGTGGTCTATAGGGATATTTGAGCAATCTGCTCTTTTGTCTGATGCAGGGCTCAAGACTCAGAGTGGAATGATTTCATATAAAATCAGAAAGCAGTTCACATGCATGTCAGGAAATAGCCCTAACACTGAAGTGCTTGAAAGGCATTTTCTGTTTCCTTGACTTCTGTCCGAATTTGGATTATCCACATCCAGTTCCACAGACATAATTCAAAGTGAATCTCTCTCTCTTTTAAATGTTCACACATCTGAGATTTCTCATTGCCTCTTATCATAGAATATCAGGGTTGGAAGGGACCCCAGAAGGTCATCTAGTCCAACCCCCTCTTACACCAGTTCGAAATGTATTAGGAAACCTTGGGGTTGCCTGAGGTCAGAGATAAAAAAATCTTTGGCAGGAGAAAAAAAAGATAATCCATTGTTTTGGATCCTAAAGATATCATTATATGTTCTTTGAAGAACCCCAATGGAAAATAGTTTTAAATGGCCTGGCTTTTTGCATTTGCCTATGACTTTTGGAGGCTCATTGATAATGAAGCTTGCAGGAACACCTTCTCCTCCTCTGTCTTCCTAGAACTTGTCACTACAAATGAGAGTAGGAACAAGAATGGAAATATGGTATGCAAGGTCTTTTATTTTTTATTTATACCTTGGATGGCTACAATGTATAACATCTGTCAAACACTCCATAGAATCATAGAATATCAGGGTTGGAAGGGAACTCAGGAGGTCATCTAGTCCAACCTCCTGTTCCAGGTTTTGTAAAATTTATCTTTCCAAGTAGGGGTTCCTTACAGCATAACTTTAAAGTAGGATGGCATGTGCTTGTAATGATTTGCACCTGGGTTTATGCAAATAAATGTAAATCTATGCAAATGTGCAAGGTCCTTTTATTTTTATTTTTCCCTCTCAGAAGATTTTTGGCTAGTGTGGCTGAGACTTCCAGCAAGGGTGTCATATGTGGTGACAGTTTTGTGGTGTGGACACCTGTCCCATAGACTCAGACCATCTGTTTTGTTTTCCCACATACAAAGAGAAAAATATGTATCTTTCGATCTAGATGGCTTTTAGTTCAGATGGGAGCGGGGGGGGGGAAGAGAGAGAGTATAGGATCTCATATTCAGTGCCCTACACTCTGTGGGGTCATTTACATGAGTGCAAAGTAGGTGCAAAAGGCTACTAACAAATTAGAATAGTGGCATTTCCCACCCACTTTGTACAGGTCCAGGGCATCAGAAATTTTCCTGGGAGAAAGAGAACTCAGTGATACTTATAAACAGAAGGTGTATTTTTATATGGTGCTGAGTGACCTTAAATCCAGTTGAAGATGATGGAAACTGAGGGTGCTCAGCACCTCCCAAGTAGTTCTTGGGCATCTTACAGGGTCAGGCCCACACTGTCTATTGCTGTCAATTTGTTTGATCTTTCTTTCTGCTGGAGATAGAAAATCAACATATGGCCATTCGGTGGGTTCTGCAGATCTCTATGAAGAGAGCGAAAGTGAGATCCAGTGTTCAGTGTGAAGCATTCCATGGACCACTGGGCATTATTATTATTTGATTATTATTTGTATTACCATAGTGCCTGGTAACCCTAGTCATGGACTAGGACTCCATTATGTTAGGCTCTGTACAAACACAGAACAAAAAGAGCTTACAGTCTAAGGAAGTAGAACCTAAAGAAATACAGCCCCAAGATATGCTAGATATCTCAGGTCAAGAAGGTGCCACTTTTAGGTTGGTCTCTGCTCACTGATCCTGTTAGGTGAACTAAGAGATGCATTATGGGACTCTGCCCCATCTGTCCTTCAGGAGGAGAGGAGACTGTTATATGATATGTGACCGAAGTCCAGGTGTTCATTAAAAGAAAAAACAGACAAAAAAAGTAAATACTATAAATAGCTTACATTTAGATAGCACCTTTCATCTCTAAGTGCTTTACAAACTATATAAGAGTCACTACACCGCCCTTTGAAATGCAGCCATCTCTAGGGTGGAGCACAGCAACTGTTTAATGGTTCACAGCAACACTATACAAAAGTTTATGACGGGAATGAAGAATGCCACTCTGTCCAACTAAACCTCAAGAGCAGTGGTTCTCAACCTTTCCAGACCACTGTACCCATTTTAGGGGTTGGATTCTTCTTACCTACCCCAAGTTACACCTCTCTTAAAAACTATTTGCTTACAAAATCAGACATAAAAATACAAAAGGGTCACTGCACACTATTGCCGAAAAATTGCTGACTTTCTCATTTTTATTATATAATTATAAAATAAATCAATTGGAATATAAATATTGCACTTACATTTCAGTGTATAGTGTATAGAGCAGTATAAACAAGACATGAAATTTTACTTTGTACTGACTTCGCTCTTGCTTTTTATGTAGCCTGTTGTAAAAGTAGGCAAATATCTAGATGAGTTAATGTACCCCCTGGAAGACATCTGCATGCCCCCAGGGGTACATGTACCTCTAGTTGAGAACCCCTGCTCTAGAGAGAATTTTAAGTAACTAAATTTGATTACCCAAACTGGAATCCAGCTAGGTCACCACTTAATGAGGACCTCAGGTTTTTTCATCTCATTCAGAAAGACTCTGCGCCTAATTCTCCACTGCTTTGCAGCTTGTGTAGTTATTTACACCTGCAAAGTGAATGTAATATGCTACTGTCAGTATAAGGGAGTGGTGAATTCTGATTTGGTGGCATTTTTCACCCATTTTGTGCACGTATAAATGACTACACAAGGTACAAGACATTAGAGAATCAGGCCTGGTATCTCTAACAGCACGATGAGCCTGATTCTCCTTTCACTTGTACTGATGTAGACCAGGAGTGACTCCTCTGAGGTTAATGGAGTTACAAGTGGGTGAGTGAGATCAGAAGCAAGGCCCCATGTTCTATGTATCTTATATGGCCTCCATTACCGTAGATTCTGAGCACCTCGCAATTTTAATGGATTTATCCTCACATCACCCCGGTGAAGTAGAGAAGTGCTATTATCTCCATTTTACAGAAGAGGAATGGAGACCCTGAGAGACTAAACAACTTGCCCAAGGCACACTGAAAATCTGTGATAGAGCAGGAAACTCATCTTCAGACTCCTGATTCCTGGGCTAGCATGCTAGCCACTGCACTATCCTTC